ATTTGAAATGGAGTGGAATGCCTGGCAAATATATGTATATAACCTCGAATGCCATCAACGGAATCTTTATGCATTTCATTTATCTAAACCCCGGAAACCTTGGCCGTTCAACTCAACTTACCTCGACATTTTATGAGCTGGAAGTTGGTTTCGCTTCGTGGCAGCATAAATTATACCGCATGCATTTGTTTGGCGAGAGTTTTATTTTCTTTTTTCAGTGGCCTTGAGTGCGGGAAATGCAAACTAGCATGGCGAAACAAAGAGCAGCTGCAGCTCAGCCAGCGGGAAAATCGAAAGAGCGGGAAAGCTCAAAGATGCAGCAAAGCTGCTGCAGTTGCGGAGCCAAAAAACCCAACAAGGTCAGTGTGGTAACCAGAAACGCAGAGAACCGACGAGCTTTAAGGAACTTCAAGTTGAAAAACTAAGTAATCGAAACTCATGGCTTAAATTCTAATTAAATTTCAATTTCGGCCATTGCCCAAAGTTATCTCAGACGAGGAAACTTTCCAGAATGCGACGGCCGCTCACACCAAACAAAATACGTACAAAATGCTTGTAATCCCAATTTGCATAAATATTTATGCTGATGGCCCTTAAATTGCTAGCCCTCACACCATTTGTGTTAATGCGCCTTAATCTTTAATGAGCCAAGTTTTGCGATTCGCGGTTCGGTTCCAGAGTTTCCCATTCTGGATTTTGGTTCTGAGTTTAAGCAGCTTGAGTACGTGTATCCAGCCAGCATGACCTCCATGAAAGGCCAAATGGCGGTGGAAGTGGTTTTTGCCATTGTGCACTACTTTTGGCCAGATAGCAACGAGATGAGATCTAATTATAAAGATAAACTGTTATGCTTCCTGCCACCACGCCCGTGTATGTGGCGAGCATTCAAATGGGCCAACAAATCTCCGTTCCGGCAGATGCCAAGATGCTGGCCAAATAAATTCCAATGTGTTTGGAATCTCTAATCGGACAGAATTGTATTTATTTTGTATTCTCTAAACTGGCATCATTTTTCGCATGCTTTATGCCAAGCCCAATTTACAGAATAATTTTTGGGAAAAGCTGTCAGTCAATACATTCCACATGCAATCTTTAGTCTATATACATATACATACATACATATTATAGGCTGGACTTATTATAGGACTTAACTCCTTTTCGTAAATTTATAAATTCGACATTGGAATGGCAAAGTAAGTAAGAATTTATGGCTGGCTTTGAAATGCAAACTGAAAACTTTGGCAACATGAAGCTGGGCTTTATTATTTGACCATAAATAAATAAAATTGCAAAATATTTTGGAACCTTTAAGGATGGTAAATTAAAGGAGGATTTTTACTTAGCAGTCTGTGACTTGTTAAGTTCGTTTGTTTTACCTTTATTCACCAATTAACTGTCTTAAAAAAGCAATTAGCATTCTTTACATATATAAATTTTATATTCAAAATCAACCCGAAGCACTTTTGTGCTGAAATCGTTTCCCTGAAATTAAATTAAAGTATAATTAAATGGTCCAGAGTGTCCTGTTTAATCCACAAGGACCAACTGGCCCTCCGGTATCTCAGGTTCAACTGCTGACAGCGAAATTCGCACGAAAGATAACAAAGCAACTCGAATTTGAACCCAAAACAGAAACCAACTCCCTCTTCCCTGGAGTTCTTGCTACTTATTTTAATTGCTCAACATTTTTCACCAACTTCTTTTTCGTTTTTTGTGGCACGCACACACTCCCTCGGTGGGGGTGAGTGTGGAAATAATATCGAATGCTTTTAGGGGCATTTGCAGCTCGACGCTTAATCGACTGATTTAGAAGTTTATTGCATTCACGGCATCTTTCCCGGCGCGGCATTTTGGGGAAATGGAGCTGGCCACGAAGGTATTTAAGCGCACTGCGTGCTCCGCGATGGGAACTCCACCTCGACTCCTTCACTCCTCCAGTTGCCGGTTGCCTGTAGCCGGCAATATAAATGGACTTCCGTGCATAAAGCGGATAATGCCGGTACGAATGCCAGACAAAGCGGCACTTCAAATTGTGCTTGAATTTATTGGCCTGCATTTAAATGGCCGGCAATTGCGAACGCCTTGCTGTGACTCAATTCCGACATAAATGCACTCAAAACAATAATGTGACACGTTTTTAATAGACCATAAATGGGGGTGTTCATTTACAATTATTATATCTTATTAAAATGTAGTTGAAAAGCATGCACAATGAATGTAACATTCAAAAAGAAAGACTTTTTAGCCATTTGTTAAACACTAAACTTATATAGATCCCAGCACTGTTGTCTCTTCCTGCACTTTATTTTAAAAAAAAAAATATGATTCTTTTTCCATCAGAATTTCAGTCAGAGGCTTACAATGGAGTGAATCCGTCATTTCCGACCCTATAAATCATATATATTCTTGATCAGAATCAATAGCCAAAACGACCCAGCCATGTTCGGTAAAAAAATATATTTTTGAAATTTTTTCGAAAATGCAAAATTTTACAAGGGGTAACGTTATTAAAATTGTCAACATTTGACGAAAATTCGAATTTTCTCAATTTTAAAACTTAGTACACAGATTTGTAAACCCTATAAAAACTAGCATAATAATCCTTTCCGAATTTAAATTAATGCATTTTTGGCTTAGTTATGATCAATTCACATTCAAACCCATGATCCTAAGAGTAAATTCAAGGATATAAACACGTGGGACTACCGAAGATAGCTTTCTTTTTTTTTTTTTTTAATTAAAGTATATATATAATTATTATTATTATAAATTCTTTTGTGATTTCTCTCAGTGGATTGAAGTAATCTCCACGCAAACAGCTACGCAAAACGCTCACCACAAATGTGCGGCAACTGGTAGCTGACGTTGGCGAGGCTGCTGTTGAATGCTGTTGTCCTTGACCATCGCATGAATAATTGCGCAGGAGCCGGGGATTGGCCGTTGTCCTTGCGACAATGCGTATAATTAAGCAAAACCGCAAAAATCGCACAATTTATGCAGCAGGCGCAGCATATTAATGGCTGCTTATTGAGACGACAACATGGAATGTAACGAAATTTGCATTAAAACTGATTTATGCATTTGTCGTTGCGGTCGTTATTGCTGCTGTTCTGTTATGTTCTCTTCTGTTCTGTGTTGTTCTTTTCTACTCTGAACTGAGCTTTCGTCCTGCTGGCTGGATGCTGCGACATAGCACATGAGAAATTTGCATAAATTTTCCGCAGCCAAATGGCACTTTTATGATGTACTTCGTTTTGGTGGGGCAACAAAGCGGTGTCGTAAAGCTCAAAGGGGAGTTGTGTTCGCCTAGAAAACGGTTGATTTTAACAACACAGCTGTTTTAAAACATAATTTGATCATCTTGCCAAGTAATTACTCAACGAAGAACTCCAATTAACGTTTTTGATTAACCTTAAAAATCAGAGGGAACAAGAAGCGGTCTTGAAGCCAGCCTTAGAAATATTCCTATAAAATTTTTATAGTAGTGTATTTTATGATTTATGAAAGGAATGCATTAGATTAATTAAAAACTTTTAACTAAAATATGTAATGTAGCTTACAAATACTTCAGAGTCACTTTGGCATAGATTATTATATAGTTTATAGATTGCATTTTAGATTAACTTTTGAAGGCACAAGCCCTTTTCTTTTAAAGCCAAAACCAAGAAGTCAAATGCACTGAGCTACAATCCATTACACATATTTAAAAAATGTCTCTAAAAGGTCTTTCTAATGCATTTAATTAATTGAATTCATTTCTAATTAATAATAATAAAATGAGTCATAAAATTGCCTAATAAAATAGATTATATAATCATAAATATCACATTTATTTTTTGGATTATTGTTGATGACAGGAGACTTGAATAATAATTGTAATTTATGACCAAACAATTAATTCAACGCTGACGTAAAATTATTACCATCTGACCCCCACATACCTTTCCCAAGCTATTTAACAACAATTATTTCCACAAAGGTAATGACACCGCAATCGTTATGCGATTCCAAGAGCTCGCCATTAAATTCAATTTCCGCGGCAACATTCAACTTTAATGTGAGAGCTCTCATGCACATTATCGGCTATATTGAACAGAACGAATTGCTTATCGGGCGGTGAAATTAAATTCTTATTTCATAATTATTATTTATTATAATTTCCCGCAGCCACTCCACTCCGCACTCACATGAGCCAAAGCAATGTTGATGCCGTGTAGAAGCTGCGGGGACTCATTCAATTTTTAATGCTTCCGAAATGTAATTAACTCTGGAGCTGAACAGCAGCTGCCCCGGAGCAGATTTGCTGGAAAAAGAGCTGCCAAGTTAGTTTAAACACTGTTTTAGGTGGACATTGAAAGCTCGTTGGCTGACATCAATATTGCATGGACAATGGCATCGATGATGGCACTGTAACCTTGAGTCTTGACCGGAGTGGCACACGGGGCGTATGATTGTTTTTCCGTGTCAACAAAACGTGTCTCTACACTAGCTTTCCTTTCGCCTTTTCGTCGTTTTCCTTTCGCTTTTCCTGCTCTCCAGCTATTTCCCTCCCCCTATTTCTCTCGTGTAACCTGTTAATGGCTTTAATGCGCTTACACGACATCAGCCCTGTTGTGTGCCCGCATTATGAGTCTTTGCTGAAATGCCAGTTCTCCGAGCGACGGGCGCACGGCAGCTTCATTAGCTTTAAGGCCCATTAAAGCATTCATCTGGGTAATGGAGTACCTTTAGCTCATAAAGCATTCATTGGCCAAACAAAAACCAGTCCAAAAAAGAAGTGGAACATGAAAACGTGAAAACGTGAAGCGAAAGCGAAGAAAAACTTCTAAGTAGCCCCAAACGAAAAAAAACGGATGCAAATTGCAAATTCGAAATTTAATTTCGTTGGCAAACAAAGAAACCCATTGTATTTGAAGTAAACATGAAATCGCAAGAGATTCTTAGCGTTGAATAAGCTGATTAGTTTCTCAGATATATATATATATATTGGGAGACCCAGATAATTTTAAAGCTTTTTAAAGCAATTCACTATATTTCACTGTTACTACACATACTCCATACATAAAACACACTGGAGATTTTGAACAAAGACCTATGATCAGTCATCATCATCATCAATATCATTTTGGTAGCGATAAAAGGGTCCGGTGTTCTTCGGCTCCGGTAAATAGCCAAAGTGAGTCCGCAGGAACTCCAGGCTCAAGAACAGCAGAACCGTGTGCGGCATAAGTCGGGCAAAGGCGGGAACTACGCCCTTGTAGAATGCCAATGGTCCCTCCTTGAACGTCTTGATGATTACATCCGCCAATCCAGAGTACTCTCCAGCTCTGGCGTTCATGCGTCGAGTTTTTACCACATCCAGAGGCTGTGTTAAAACCGTAGCCGCCGTGGCCGATATTATCGAGGCGGTGATATAGGTACCCATATTCGGAGGCATACCTAAATCCACCAGGATATCCTTGCTCTGCTCGTAGAAAGCGATCTGGCCGACGGTCATACCCATGCCACGCAGGGCGGTCATTGAGGAACCATTGTACAAGGTGCGCCAACCCTCCTCGCGGGTGATGCGCACCAGACCATCGATAGCATGCTTGTAGCTATTATGGAATATATAATGATTAATATCCTCACTAAACATCAATTGAAAATATCATACTTGCGTCTCTTTTCCTCGGGCAACTTGACATCATTCTGGAGACGCACATTGATCAGATCCGCTGGAGCACCCACGAATCCACCGAGTCCACCGGCCACCGCCGCCAGAGCGGTTTTCCGTTGCATGGTGCTGGTGTCCATCATTTCGGAGCCCACCTGATAGATTCCAAAGCGGGACAGCGTGTAGGTGTACTGTCGCAGCATGGAGGCCGAGATGCCATTGTACATGGCCAGGATACCCTGCTCCTTTATGATTTTGCGTGCAGTAGCAAGCATTGACAACTTCTCCGCCTGAGTCTGGATGAGCACCTTCATCAGGTCCAGGGGATGAGTGATTATGGCAGCCATTGAACTGGCCACACCACCAAAGTACCAACGCGCAATGCGTTTCTGATTGTAGGACATGTATACTGGTCTTCTAATTGACATTTCTGCAGTCTCTTAAGAATTTTGGCTTAACATGAAATAATTAAATTAATCAGATGTGAATACTAAGTTATTGTTGGTGTTAAAAGCTCAAATGTGTCAGTTAACAGTCTTGCTAATATTAGCATGGATAGTGAGATATCTTTGGAATTTTGAAATTAATTGTGTAATTCAATCCTTGCATATTGCATATTATATGTAGTAGAAGTTTGGTTTGCCTTCGCCTAGATCCTGCAAAAGATACCCCTTTAAAAGTAGTAGTTTAAAGTTTGTTATAAAGACTTACACCCATACAGTAAAGAGCGGGGATTCCAACAATGGCTCCACCGATAATTAAAAAGTCGAGTAACCTTTTCTTCAATAGCTCGTTTTCGCTACGAAAATATAAAAACACAGGAGTGGCGGCAACAATAAGAAATACATTGAACAACAGTACAAGGAATACAGCTTTTCGCGTATATTTTGCAGATTTATTCTCTTGAATACATGAGCTCTCGTCATCTGCAAGAAAACATGAATAAAGACAGGATGGTTTTCCTTGGTATGAACTCACCTGAGTCAATCTCTATGGCGGTTCCTGACTGCACCTCATTTTCTAGATCACCATTGCCCATCTTGGGTGTCACCACCATTTTCTGTTGCATTTCTAGAGCCATTTTTGGGAAAATTCATTCATACAGCTGGGTTTCAATATTTAATGACGTTTAATTATATACTGTCTTTGATGTTCATAAAGTTAACACTTGAATTTTAAACATCAAACCAGTAAAATGGCATCCGCATTTAGTCTTTATGATGCAGAGGTTAAACATATTTCAGATTTCAATATAATTACCCATTATTTTCTGTACTACTAAACTCAAAACTAGCATATATTTCCAAACAATTTCCCTTTGAATTTTCTTCATAAAAGCAATGTCTTTTTACAACTGCAAAAATATAAACAGTGAATACTCGAGAGCGTTTTCTTGTCACATTATTCACACCTGATTAGCCAAAAACTGCCGCTCACTTCCGGCCAAGAGGAAGCCCAGCACAAAGGGCAACAAAACGTGGTTGGCACGCAACAAAAGCCTCAGAGAAATGCCTCAATCACGCACCTTTGATTATGCTAATGGATCCGAAGCTCTGTTGTTTCATAAATATTTTGACAGCTCAGGCACCGGAAATGAGCGCTTGAAATTGTCCACAAGTGCCTGTATTTTAATTGGTCATTTGGTTTTGACAGCTGGCAGCCGGCACTCGACCGACCGCTCTTTAAACAGAATCCAGCAGGGGGCAAGCGCCGACTGAATGGCCATTAAATAAATAAACCTGGGAGGGAAAGTTATTATACGGCTGACACACAGAAACATATAAAATCCATTGGCATGCCATGAAAGTTGAGCCAACGGTGGAGAAATTTGTTGCAAAAGCCGAATTCGATATATGTGTATATATATTATGTTTCGTGCGGAATGCAATTTTGTGAGTTATTGCTTCAAAATCGAAATACATTTTCTCTAAAAATAAAACGCATTTCGCTATCGCTGTCATATTGGGCATATGCCCAATATGGGCAAAGTCCATTCTGGAGAGGGCTTAAAACGGCTAAATAATTTGATTTCGGTTCGATGAGCAGGCAAATTGAATGACATTTTGTGCTATTTTCTGTTCAGTTTAGGCCTGAATTTCAACAAAGTTGCCAAACGAAATCATCGCTGATGGATTGGATTTAAATTTCAGGGCAGATGGAAAATTTATATTTATTTATAGAAATGTTCAGCTAAATTGTCGCATTGCGTTGCATTTTGTTTATTTTTCATGTAATTCTGTTTTGCGGTTTGCTTAACGGAAATGCCAGCCCACGTTTATTATTCTACCATAATTGGGTTTTAGCTGCCAAATGCCGAAAATGAAATTATCGACTGCTGTCCCTGGCCAAGTGAAAGTTAGTTAGGACAGAACTTTTTAAATGCACGAAATCTTCATAAACTTTATTTTATTGTGACCAAAAACTTCATGAAGGGGGGAGTTAAACTTCAGCTTAGAAGTTGGCTAGTTAGTTGGCCAGTTCATTTGGTGCTGCAGCATTGGTCCTTGGGTCCATTCTTGCAGACACAGTTGCAGTCCTTGTTGCAGGCGCAATTGTCTCCGCACTTCTGGCCCGAGCACTGGCAGTCTGTGAATAGAGAACGCTTGTCAATTACTTGACTTACTGCTGTTTTTGGTATCACTTACTAGTTCCACAACCCTTGCAAACCATTTCGATTGGTATATGTAGCTCTCTCTCTGTGACTTCGTTAGTGCTTCCTTGTAGCTTGTTTAGCTATTCAACTGTTGACCCATCACAGTGACTGCCCGCCGCATTTATACCAATTTAGATGGCCTCGGGCGAGTGCAAAATTGCACAAATCGAAAACAAATTTGTTTGCTTGACCCGACTTATCGCGTCGTGTGCAAGTCTAGAGCGAGTGCTTCGCAATTTATCAGGCACCGGGCCTACGATACTTTTTTGTATTTGCACACGCAATCTCGCTTTGCCCGACTCGCTGCACACGCCGCGTATACGTACTGGCTTTATCAGCTAAATTGCGTATACGCCGCGTTGGCTTGACATGACTCACGTAACAGCCCAGAAGCCCACAAAGAAAAGTAATAAAAAAGAATATGTTGTTATATTTTACCTTATTTACATATTCTTTCTTACCTGTTTATAAAAAATATCAACCCTTGAAAAGGTCAAATCATTCATTTATGTATCTGTTTCCTGTTTCTGGGAAAACTTCTGTCAAATCTGTTTATGTATATGCTTTGTATTCATAAGAAGACATTTAAAAATTAAAAGTTAAATGAAAGAGGCTTGTAAATAAAAGAAAAAATTAAACCCATGTCTGGTACTCTCACTATTGTAATTATAGTCGGATTGTTTTTCTTATAAGTCATTAAATTTGTAGGGGATATTGATTTATTAGACATAGAAATACTTAATTAAAGAAAATCCAAGTAAATATAGAAAATGGGATAGCATTTGTATTATGTTTATATGTCAAACAGAACTGAAGCATTTGTATTATATTTATATGTCAAACAGAACTGAAGAATTTCTTAAAGATCTTTGATCTGGAGATTCAAGAAATTATCTTGCAATAACTTACAAGGAATCCGTTAAATGAATATTATTTCTTGGTATTTTATTCAATCCATTGTAGCAGCAGAAAATACTAATATAAAACCCGATCAGAGCAGCAGTATCTACGAGTATCCATAGCATATTTTCAGGCTTCACCTACAAATGCCTCCGCCCAAAAAAAGCAATCATATTTACTCCACAAAATTATGGTATACTTTCCGGATCGCACAAAACTAAATTCCAAATAAATATTTGTAATAAAATGCCTTGTTTATTCGCAGACACACTCGCGGCGAGTGTCGAGAAATACTCATTTGATTAACATACATAAATATAGACACAATGGTGTGCATATTGCTAGCATCACAAAAAACATAACAAATGACAAATACTAGGGCACAAAATTCATGATGGTGGTGACGCTTCGCTCGATTGGAGCAACCTCAACTATCTAGTTAGTTAGTCCTTAAGCTCGGCGGCGGTATTGACGAACCCAGCTGTCTGGGTCAGTTGCAGCTGGGCCTTCTCCTCGGCCTCCTGGGCCTTCTGCTCGGGCGTCTTGGCCCATTCCTGCAGCTCACCGGAGCAGTAGAACCAATAGATGACGCAGCCAATCAGATAGATTCCCGCCGAAATGAAGAAGATGATGCGCCACTCTTCGCTGGTCTGCTCCACAACCACGTAGCCGGTGAGCAGTGGACTCACGATGCCCGGAATAGTGGCGAATGTGTTGCCAATGCCCATCAGCACACTGGCATGCTGCGGGGCTATATCCAGGTGATTGACCCTGCAAGTGGAACATAAAAAGTCCGAATGAGTGGCACTCCTTGTCGGGATTAACCAGCATCCACACTCACGCGAATCCGGACCAGGCGAAGGCACCCAGGCCCACGGCAATGGTCAGGCAGACCACCGACCAGGTGGGATCCAGCAGATAGGCCGTCAGCATCATGAACACCGTTTGGGCCAGGAAGGCGCCGCAGTTGAAGTTGCGCCGCACCTGAGTGGTCGTCCAGATGCCCTTCACCTGCAGCCAATCGGCCAGATAGCCGGAAACGGCCAAGAGGATGCCCATGGCCAGATAGGGCACGGCCGACAGGATGCCCGTTTTGCCCAGGTCAAAGTTGAGCGTATCTGTAATGGCCGAGGGTAAAGCATTTCTTTTCCACGCACAAGCAAGCACAGGATATAAACTCACCCTTGAGGAAGCTTGGAAGCTGGGTGAGCAGGGTGTAGAAGCCCCAGTTCTCCGAGAAGTGAGAGGCCATGATGGCATAGAAGGCCATCGACGTGAAGATGGATTTCCAGGGATGCTTGATGTGCTTGGTGCCTACATATCCGATGGTCTTCTGAATGTACTCACACTCCTCCTTCGAGCAAAAACGATCCAACTCAGGTCCGGCCTTCACAAAGATCAACCAGATGATGTACCAGGCCACGCCGATAGCTCCGAATACATAGAACACACTCTGCCAGCCGTATTTAGTGGCCAGGAATCCGGAGCAAGGCATTGCCACCACTGTTCCAGCATAATTTCCGGCAAATGCAATAGACGCCATGCGGGAACGCTCCAGAGGCGGTGACCACCGGGCCCACACTGCATGGATGCCCGGGAAGGTGACGCCCTCGAAGAAGCCCTCGATAATACGGACGGCCAGGAACATCTCCAAGCTGTGAGTGGCAGCCAAGGGAGTGAGCAAAGTCAAAATGGCAGTGCTGCCGATGCCAGTGCCAAATACCTAAGTAGAGATATTAAATAATTAATAAATATCTCGAATGTATTATTATATTAGGTATTTTAAACGTTTTTGATTAAAAAGTTCCTCAATTATTTCATTTTAATTTGGTTTATGCTTTCAAATATGTATTTTGAGTCTATTCACATTTTTTGTTTCTATTTCTATTATTTCTAAGTACGTTTGTCCAAGTTAGACAAATGATTATATTTCATTTTAATTAAGTTATCACAGCGTTATAATGTATATTTAACATTAATCTAAATAATAACCCGAAATATCTATAGTTTATTACAAAAGTAACCTGGATTAATAACTTCTCTTCTCTGAAGCAGTTTTTTATTTAAAAAATCATTTGAATGGATTAATTGGCTAACTATAAGTAATTTAATAGTTTATTAAATTGCACTTTTTATGATTTTAAACTTAAACCAAATAGAGTTAAATAGTTTACACATATAATTGCCTTCTGTTATTTGAAAGTAATTACAATTTGATAATTACTACTATTAATAACTCCCCAGGCACAATGCACAAACCAGATTTTGTTATGAATATAAACATTCCTATGCAGATTGGTTTACTAGGAAGCTTAAATAAGTAAATACCAGTAATGTCATTAGAGATACTCTAATAATTATTTAGTTTTATTATATTTATTAATTATAATTAAAGCCAACTCACCAAGTTGCCACCGATCCGGGTGCCAATGTATCCGCCCAGGAACTGCGTCAGTATATAACCATAGAAGAAGGAGCTGAGGATCAAGCCCTTCTGCTTGGAGTCCCAGGGGAAGTCCTGCTCATAGGATATATTACCATCGCCATCCACAACCGTACGGTTCTCGGTCATAGCCACTATGGCCACCGACAGGTTCACCCGGAGAGAGTACACATTGAAGAAGCCAAAGAAGGCGAGGAGCACCACAATGTAACGCTGTTTGCGCCAGAAGCGCCAGGTCAGTGGCTCGCTCTCCGTGATTTCATTGCTGTGAAATTGGCCAAAAATTCGTTAGATTCACCGATGGAGAAGGAAATGGGAGGAGGAAGCCATGCAAATGAAGAGCCCGAGGGGGTCACTTTCCCTTTCGGTTGGCCAGCATTTACCGCAGGCAGTCTGGTTGCTCTGTTTCTGCTTATTTTTATACTTTTTGTTTACGTCTAGCCTCGGAACCAGTTTTGGAGTGGTTTTCTTATCGACTGGTTTATTCAACCCATTTCGCCCCAGGGTGCAGAGGAGTCTATATACCTAACCAGACTCTTTTATACATTGGGAGAGCTTTGAAAAATGCATATAATTAATATTGCTAAAATTTCAATAACTCTAATTATTATTGACAGTGTTATTGTTTAAATTCCTTGTCAAGATTTATGTGCAAATCTGTCTCTAAGTCATTCTTAACCAATCTATTAACTTTTAATTTATCTGCATGTATCTGGGACTCTTGAGGTATGCGGAACCCATTAGATATAAAGTAGATTGCAATTACTTGCCTTGACTATAGTACTCACTTGTTGTGGCCCACCTGCTCCAGGTGTTTGCCATTCTTCGGTGACTCCAAGTCAGTCGTCATTGTGCCAGCCAGCCGATCGTTGTGAGCCTGTGTAAATGAAATAATTCCACCAATTTGTTTATACAATACACTCACTAAACAACTCATGTGCGTGATGGCGATTCATTAAACTCGTACTTAGATCTCCCTCATGGCTCCCTCATACATAAGGCGTGTTATAATTTCACCAATTGTTAGATCGCGCCCATACACAGGGGCTATATACATAGATATATATATAGTCCGCGGGATCGGTTGCGTGCTTTGTCGCGTAATTGACATTGACACTGAGCGAAGAGCAAACATTTTGCTAAGCAATTTTTGGGCCACTAATGCGGAAACATAATACGGCAGCGGGACGACAGAGGCAGAAATTAGAGGCTGGAAGAACGAGAAATCTGAGCATCTTAACTCAATTATCCATTTAACTTATTAAGCGAATGGTTCGCCAATTGTGGCACGCGAAATCCAGCAGCTGAGAACCTATATATCGCTCGCACTCCGGCTCATGGATATGGATGTCATAATCAAATAATTGTCCAGTCAACTTGATTCGCTTTGATTTGCAAATTGCATGAATATTTTGGCACAACACGCGCTGCCTTTGAGTGTCATTAAAAAATTGAAGCAATTGCACAGCCAGCACGCACGTGTGTGGAAGTCAGTGAAAGTAATTGTCATACTTGGTACTCGACTTTCGATACTAGACACTTGTGGCTACAAATAGATATCAGAATTTGTGCTTATCATTATGGTTTTATGGCACAACTACCGCTCAATTGATTACATTTACCTGTCATAAACCGAATAAACCAAAGGAAAATGCTTACCGAAAGTTTTCCATGCTATCAAACATTTCCACAATCGGCTATCGTAAAACAATTTACTGCTCGCATTAAAAAAATATGAAAAAAAAACTAATTGCTATTTAATGAGTTTCTCGTATTTTTTATGGCGATCATAAAATGTTATATATATAGCCTGGTCTTATCCTTTTATTGTCCTATGCTTATCTGCAAAAACTTCGGTTTTTTTTTGGGCCTGAGAGAAAATAACGCAACTGAGATTTGTACTTTATGAAGTGCCATTTCGAGGATCATAAATTCCGGCCTCGGGTGATGGGGTTCGCCTGAAACAAACATCTTCGACAGGTCCACGAAAAAACCTGTTGCCTCTGATAAGTAGCGCGTTGCGACAAAAATATTTACTTTTTTGCTTTAAAATCAGCAAAAAAACTGAAGGCGGTACCTAAGTCGATACGTAATTAGCCCTGTCTCGGGTTCGTCATAACAAGTCTAATAAAAATTCACCAATTATTCAATCGAAAAACACTTCTCAAAAGGCTTTACAAATAACTCTAAGATTTGGCACAACAGCTGCATCCCAGGCAGCAAGGCGGCAAAATGTCTTTAATTAAAACTTCATCGAAGGCAGTTGAGCAAATAGCTCACCGAGTTCAATAAACACCAGCACATGTGCACGAGAAAACACTTTCGAAACTTTTTCTTTAAATATATGCAAAATACGTTAACTTTGTCACAAAACTTTTGCAAGTATAAAAATTCGATTCGAAATGAAGGCCAAGAAAAACGCACCGATGAAGTTGAAACTTGGAATCCTCTCTCAACTACTTGGATCGATCCGTTCGACAGCACTGCTTGCCGCTAGGTGTGGGCGTGTGGGCAGGTGTGAAGTCGCCGGTAGCTGGCAGCGGACTGATCCATCCATCTGCCGGCAGCCAGCAGCTCGGCTCGGCAGCGAGAGCTGGGATTTCCATACCCGCTCATCATCGTTCAGTTGACTTCAATTGAGGCACTGGCTCACTGGGGAGCAATAAAGCCGGCCAGGCCGGAGCGCCAAAAGAGGCAGGAACGGACCCGAGCGCACATTGGCGTGATTAGGACGCCAGCACTGATAGGGATCGGCATAAAGCTTATCGTTTGATTAGGCGGAATATATGTGGCGCTTGTAAAGATAAAATCTTTCGTCAATTCGGGCGACCATTGCTTGCGGGCACAGTCGCAGCATTTGCTGATTCTAAATTGAATCTGCGAGATTTGCCACTAATTTCGGTAGCTACTTTTAGCACGAGTATGGAATGCGGGAACATGAACAGGTTCAAGGCTGGGCACTTTTAAGTTAAATTTATTTTAAGAAACAGATATTTTAGGCCTAAGATCAATGTGATTAGTTTTGGCAGAGAACACGGATAAATCTATTATTATTTCAAGAAAAAATTGAAATCGCAAAAATATAAAAGTAATAAAATTGTTTTTAGGAAAGCATAGGAAAGCTTTCCGAATTAAAATTAATGCATTTTTGGCTTAGCTATGCGATTATAAACTCTGATTTAGCTTAGATCCATTTTCATTTAATTTTTATTCATTTCCGATTCGATCCTATATTTAAATTGCAAACTGCAAGGGCATATAAGCTTCGTCTACCTGAAGTTAATTTCGTTTTTTGTTTTCTATTTTAATGTACATATAAATCAATCCCATATATCACACTGTGTACATATATTACACTGTGTAATTAATCATTCATTCCTAAAGCCTTATCACGAAAACACTCACCTAATTGGATTAGCACAATTAATTGATTTTATTAGTCAGTTGTAGTTGCCGGTATTAAATTACTGAACATAATTGATTGATATTAGAGATTTTCTTATAATTTAATCATTAGACTGTACCTTAAATGAATTTAATTAATTTCAGGATAATAATACTTTTAAATATAATATTTCTATAGTTTCTTCTACTTTTATTTATTAGTAACCGCAATGGAGTAAACAATTCGGTGTCAAATAAAAATTAGCACGCAGAGCGCACCGTTGAAATTAACAGTTGGGGATCGGGCACGACAATTCTGTGGCTCTACGCCTTAACTAATGTCATCTATTTTCATTGTCGAGTGCGAATTATTGTGGTAATTGCCTGCAAACAAACAAAAATTGCATAAATATCCAGTTTGTGGTGGTTTTAAATATTATTTTAAGATCAGCGCTTGATATGATTCTCGGGTGGTCACTAATTAGCAGAGCCTTATCACCGCTATATACCCATAGATATTCACAATGGTCTTCGCTCTGTTAACCCGCTGTAGCTTAACAGCGGCAAGCAGTACGCTTAACAGGGCTCTGCTCTGCTTAGCACATAAAGCTCACATAGCGCATACGCCTCGTTGGCTCGCAATAATTGCAGTTATTTGTTTGTAATATTTTTTGGGGGGCAAAAGAAAACAAGAACTTAAGCGATTGCAAAAATACTATAACAAAGTGAGGCACTGGAATAAACTTTTAAATGGTAAAATATAAGGTTTTCTTTAGAGTTTCTTTTAAAGATAATAAATTTTAGAAAGCAAATGTACAGAAAACTCACCTTTAAATTGCTGTATGCCGATGAAATTATTGATAAAAACAACTGAATTTAGATTTTAATAGCCAATACTTAATGTTTTAGTCAAAATCACTTATTAATTTTAAATTAGATGCTCAAAAAATTAAAAGAATCATGGTTTCCACATATATAAATCACTAAAATACAGTTTTTTTATAAATATATATGTATTGACAGCCTCAAGACATTATCCAATTACAATTTGGCCAGAAAACCATTTAATAACTCTCTATAACAATTTTTGAAGTTAGCCACTTGAAAACAAGGTTTCAGTATATATATCCAAGTAAAAAAATCTATTTTGTATTATTATAAAATTTAATTTTTTCAGAAAGTCGTTAAATGGCATATTATCTTTGCCTGTATCAAGGGGATACTTAAAAAAAATATAGTAAATTGCCGTTGTGCCTTCTGTTGCGGTGCTTGTTTTTTATTTTTTGTTTTTACCCCGAACATATCATAAACAATTGGCGCAGTCACACGTGCTGCGTGAACAAATAAACAAAAAGTGTGGCAGCTCAATTTACATGCTGCGAGCAGATGCAGAGCACGTGACAAAAACATTGCAATATCCCGGCATTCTGGAAATTGGCGAAAAGGAAAAGCAAACAGAAATGTGATACAACAGCAACATGTGGGGACACGCTGAATTAAAAACGGGGAAGAAAACAACCAAAATTGATTGCCCCACAGAAGGAAACCTCCCCCAGAGGAAATGTGTGTGCCATTAATTGATTTCTGGGTCAGAGCCACCGCACTTCTGCGCCTGTGATAACCCCGGGGTGTTATATTCACACCTCACTGCAAATCGAACGATAACGTCCAAGTGGTCAAGTCGTGTTCTCACGTGTAGCGGGATTTGAGCCATACACCAAAATGGTAACAAATTGAGTCTCAAAATAAAGTTCCCTCCTCCCATTTGTCCAGAGCAGAGCTCATTTTTGTACAACTCTGCAGACCAGAAGCCAGTTGCAGGTGTCGAATTTTCACCTGGACGAGGGGAGCTTTGCATTCGGTACTCCGACGGCATCATTGTTTGCGCCTTTGTGCGCGCTCGCTGGCTGCCAAATTGCATTTTAATTGTGCGCTCAAAGCAAACGCAGCTAAGTGCAAACAATTTCAGCTGAATGCGCGACAAACAAACCCAGAAAATTGCTCGCAATGCTTTAAGCGGATTCTCTCTCATTTTCATTCGAATTCCGTGCACCTTCAAGCCCAAAAAAAAAATAAAAGAATAAAATAAAGTAAAAATACAAAAAAAATAAGGAATAAGCTGAGAGAATAAACGAAAAGCGTTCCAATGCAAATTTGTCTTTTGACTTTGACTACGTGAGCCTTTAATGGTTTTCTGCTAGTAACTTTAGCACAAAACTCGAAACTTTTCAACTTCCTGTGCCTGTGCCAGTGCCAGTGCCATGCTCCGTCCCCTTTGATTTCGAGTTGACAAAAGTTCCAGCGAGTTGAGCGCATATTACAAAAGCCCCCACCTTTGCTCTTCGCCATGCTCCTTGGACATGCCACGACCGAGGAGCTGGAGATGGAGCAGGAGAATGAGAAGCTAGAGCAGCTCACTATTCCTGGCGACTGGATCTGGGGCGTCCTGTGCCATTGCGCTTTTTCCCCTACTTGAAATGCAGCAGGAGTGAGCAAAGTAAAAGCACAAGTCCTAAACCTCTTCGATTCCCAGTCGCCCAGCCCAGTTGGACATTTCATTTCCATTCCATTTGGACACACGTAATTCCCCGAAGGTTAACGCAATTCCAGCTCTCTTGCCGGAGCTCTTTAAATATTTTAGCTGGCTGCAAAGCCCAACTTTGCCTAATTGCCAGTCGCCAGCCAGATAGCGCCGGGAAGTAGGCAATGCCGGCAAAGAGGTCACAAGTCACAACGAGACTCAATCTGCCAGATGGGTTTTCGTATAATTCGGTGTTCAGTTATGGACATTAATTAACATAACTCAAGAGTTGTGGAACGTCTCAATTAGCTGACATATTTAAGAAATCATTTAAGAAAGATCATTGGTCTGGGTGTAAAATTAAAGTCAAACCTCAAGGGGATAGTTACGACTTCAGCAAAGACCAGAGGTCAAGCTCATTTGCACACATGTTTTAATGTGATTTGATATGTGCGCGGGGCTGAAAGCCTTTTAATGACCATAATTTTGCTACAACAGCAGCCAGTGCTACGGGGAAACACGCATCCTGGGTCAAGGATGCACTGAGTGGGATATATAGTCGGGGCAAAGACAGGCCAACCTTTCGCATAATTAAGCCACATGCACGCAGCAACCGCAGTAGGAATAGCAGCAGCAACAGCACCAGAGACATCCGCATGGTTAATCATACGCCACGTTGGCTTTGAAGACTCTGAAAAATTTATTCAGCAGCAGCCGAAAAGCCTTTCAGGACTACTAACAAGGCAGCAGCCTGCCAGCCAGGCGCAACAACAATGGCAAATATTGTGACAATGGCAGAAACAAAAAAGGAAAGGTGGAACGGGTTAAGCTGGAAGCCAAATGTTGGGGGTAGGTTTCACCGGGTTGAATTGTCGGTACAAGAGCTCCCGCTTGTGTAAATATAGAATTTTATAATAACAAAGCACGTCGCAGGTGCAATTAGTGTGCAAATAAGCGTTTATTTGCCTTGCCAGACAGGACAGACAGGACAGACAGGACCACAGTCGGGAGGACTGGCAACGGAGCGGAGGGGATGAAGAACGGGGAGCCAAATAACTGACCTCGTTTGCACCCCTTGGCGAAATTAGAATTCAATTCAGTTCAAGCATCTACGCCGCTGGGGAGTCATATTCAAGAAAATTGGCCAAGATTATGTCAAGTGAAATTGTGCTGGCTCGTAAATCAGGCGAACCAACGCTTACACCTCGGCCACAAGCATTCAGCATCCATTGCATGTGTTGCAGTTGCATCTCAGTTCAGTTCGCTCAGAGGCGGCTAAACAACATTACTCAAGGCACCGGTGGAGGACACGAGAACATGCAACACATCCAACACACACATGCCACACGAGGACGCAGGACGACAAACAAGAAAACTAAACCCTGACCGGTTGGGGACCTGCTGCTGTTGCTGGTTGCTCCTGCTGCTCGCATGCAAAGTGCACTGGCATTCGCACACACTCCAGTCCACACACACTCCAGCCCCACAGTCACACACAACTCCCAACACACACACACACACATACACATGGACTCAGGAGCAGACTCAATTGACTGTGAGATGGCAACAACATTTTTATTCTCTCAAAAACCCCTTTTGCCTGCCTCTTTAAAGGCAGTGTCCTC